AACCCCAACACCACACTACTCATCGCTGGCCACGTGACGAATTCACACTGACTGGTCATAAGACTAAGACTTGAGCCCACACCTACACACACATAATACAAACACACTAATCTCTTAAAACCTCCCCTGCCTTTGTTTCAAATTGTTACCATATAGGAGCTAAATTAATCAGAATATTTACCATGTGGCACACCAAAAGCTTATTCACCGAAGTAGCGATATGAGGATTTTGTTTCAGACCAGAGAAAATTTACAAGAGAATTATAACAAGTTATGTATCAAGATAGTCAAAGGTCAACCCATTTATCCTCCAATCCACAGCCTCCCCCCTCCCTGATAGCACAACCATATATACAATAAAACGTGTACCTCATCATCAGCAAGATTTAAATTGTAAACGACCAAAAACTAAATCAACAACCAACTTCAGAGCCAAAGGAGAAATTCTAACTTTGCTTTTAACTACAAAGACGCAAGACTGCCGCAATAACGGCCATTTAGTTCGGGGGAAAAAGCAATACAGATTGTATACAACATAAGACAGAAAAAAAGCAGAACCTACCAGTGACACCCACAAACAACCCAAACACCCATGGTGTTAACTAATTTTTAAAAGGGGAAAACAATAACACTTAAACACGAAAAAAAAAAAATCCAGTCCCATGCACATTCCCAAACAATACAAACAAACAAAGCCAAAAAAGTAGGAACTTACTTTGAGTATATATGTGTAAGTGTTGACAAACGCTGCTCATTTGGAGGGCGGCCTTATGTCACAATCTGTCGTTCTTTGGACTAAAGATTCTGACAGGTGCAATGAGGAGGCGGGAATCTGAAACCAACAGAAAAACAAATACATATAATGCTGTTGTCTCTTGGCCTACTTAAATCCCATTGACACAATATAGATCATTTTGGACGTCAGGGTCAACTTGGGCTGAGAGGGATACAATATCCCAGCAGAAAGACTGAAATACTCAATAAAAATGTTACCCCTACCAAGGAATCGAATTGCGGTCTCCTGTGTGCTACAGCTAACCACCTAACCACGAAACCACAGACTCCAATCTAAGCACACTGCTAGACCGTGGAATAAGATGTTTGATTAATGAAGGAGGGCGGGGGGAAAAAAACTAGATCTATACTTTACCACCTGTGGTATTGTTGAATATTTGTGCAGGTGGGCTTATTTGATTAAATAAATCTTGCATTATCATAATCGCAATCTGAAACTGTTACCTTTATGTGAACGCCTGCTGCGCTCAGACGGGGACTTAATGGAAACAAGAGATAGCAGAACAAAGAAGTTACAGATAGACCGTCAACGGGTCGAAATTGGTGAGAACAGAGACTAGAAACAATAAGAATATTGCAAGAAAAATGACCATCTATGCTGTAGTTAAAACTTGAAATTTGTTGAAGGAATGTGTGTATATATAGAGATAAAGAGAAATAGTGACATCTAACGGACAATTTTAAGGAGGGATCAATATTATATCTTCGGGTTGGGGGGGAGGGTGAGTAAAGGCAAACTCAATGCGTTCCCATCACTGTCTTTAATAGGGAAAGATCCGATTTTCCTTCAATTCCTTGTCTCTTCTAACATTGCCAGCGAACTACAGAGCAACAACGCAGAAAGACTCGTCGTAAAAATGTTCGATCAATGCTACTAGCATCGAGCGCATGGGGCAAGCACACACTCGCACACACATAAACACACACACTCTCTCTGGCGCCGCGACGGGCCGAGCTTTGTACGGATTCCGACGGATGATAATGACGGAGGGAGAGAAATATCGATCGCCTGCCTGGAGTGATTCACGGGGAACGATTTTTGTGCCGGGTGGAAGAGGCGCTGCTGCCAGAGCCCATGTCATCTGGACGTGGATGGATCCTGGCTTCAGCTTTGCTTCGACATTTTGTGACATGGGGAGCTGTTAGCGCGAGCCGTTAAGACAGACATGGGCTCGTTGATCTAATGTTGCTTGCTATAAAGTTACACCCCCACTCCCTCACCCACACTCCTTTTAAAAAATTATAAGAGCAAAAACAGGCGATTAACAAGGGCAGAGAGACACTGAGAGAGAAAGAGAGAGAGAGAGAGAGAGAGAGAGAGAGAGAGAGAGAATAGGAAACTTAATAAAACACCATCATGAAAATATCAGAAAGCCAGCTGCCATAGAAAAGTGAGAGACCTAAAATATTGTCTTCCCCCCCCAAAAATGATCATTCAGGCATTCGCACCCAATTTGTATCAATATCAAAAGTGAATCAGATACATGATGGTTTTATTGTTCGTTGTTTTTGTTTTTTTTGCCAGTATCTCAAGCAAATCCTTTAACCACCATGTACTGAGACAATTTTAACAGGAAAAGTCATTATTGTCTGAGGTAATATCAATATCATTACGAAAATTTCTATAATTATTAATATTTTATATTGTGTTCTGAGCTACTGAAAGTGAAATTTTCCATGCCTTTTTATGATTTTATAACAGGGAAATCCTCTAGCCAGTAACTTACAAATAGAGAATGTAGCTGGTAGGCTTCCCCACCTGTGAAGTTATTACATACACGAATTTATAAGCTAAAAACATAACTGAAGGAGTATTTTACACAGTACAAAATGTATGTTATACAATGAACCGAATTCAATGGCTACATACCTGAGTGTGTACAATGTTGTCTATAGATTTTTCTGACAAAGGTTCCCGAGAATCCCGACAATTTGCAGATTCGACAAGTCTTGCTTGTAACGATGATGTGAAGGCTGCGGCGGGGGAAAAGGGACTTTGACCACCTCCGAGCTGTAACTCCAAGTCTAGGATATAATCGATGACATACTGCATGAGGACTGTGCCGTCGATGTTGCCATCCTCATTCCGGGGAACTTCTGGAACCATGTTGCTGAGCTGGAGGAAACATTCCTAGAGGAGGACAAAAGCCAATAAAGGAAATCAAAACAAGAGAAAATGCATATCTACTGAAATATCATTTAATTCAACAATACCCAATTCCAGGTCCATGTATGAATTGTTAGAAAATAAAATAAAAACGTGAGGAGAATGGGAACTCAACAGTAGGCTAAAGGACGGGTATAATTATAGTGAAGACTCTTTTTTCGATCTTCCAATAAGAACTTTGTACTTTGTGCCAAATACAAAGTGACAATTTTTATAGGCCTCGGCTTGATTTTAATGTGGAAATTACGAAATAGTGGCGTATAGCCTAATGTAGAACACATCATGAAGAATACAGAACAAATCATTTCGCAGCAAGCATGCAAAGATGTAGATCTAGATCTAATAGATCTATAGATTATAATTATATATCTGAATTCGAGCTCACTTCTGAACAGTCTACCCTACCCATGGTCTTCGACCCTACCTTTCATCCGAAATATTTAATGTTAGCCTAGGTCAACGATCGCTGTTTTATCCCCACAACCGACATCCTCATGATTTTTATTAGGCCTACGCTGTGCGATGCTACTTCACTCATCGTTTTTGTCTTTGGATTTTGAAGGCGAAGTGCCGAGAATTGGTCCACTCATGTTGTGTCAGTGAGTTATTTGGGGTTCTCACGGTCACGATCAACAAATTTAGTAACAAGAGTCGGAGAGGAAGACCAAAACAGTCAAGAGGCCAAAACGACTGGAAAAAGGGAAAATTCAAAGATCAAAATCAAGATACATGTAGATTCTACGTGTAATGAAAAGCCAGAGAAGAGCAACCCGTGCGATTTCTGATAGATTTCTAGATCTAGAAATCTAGAATCTAGATCTAGATCTAGATCTAGATCTAGATCTAGAAGATCTAAATATAGACTCTAGATCTAATATATTGTTTCACATGATAATATGCGCTTTACACTTTAGAAGCAAGGCAGACAATCAACTAGATCTAGATCTAGACCTAGATTTAGATCTCTAGATCTCTAGGTCTATTTTACATGACAACATGGGGCGTAGATCTATGATAAATATTTAAATAAAAAATCCCAAAACAACTCACCCTCATTTCTTCGCTCAATGTGAATTTCTCTCCTCGGAACTCAATTCCTGTGCTTGTGGTTTTCATGATGGAGCAGTTGGCGTCTTTCTTCACACCGAGAATTCCAGCTCTCGGCCTCTCTGTTGCTACCGATTTCATGCTGCTTGATAAAACTGCTGCTGCTGCTGCGGGTATTGATTGAGTGAGCTCTGCGACTGCTGTGACGGATGGCAGCAGCGATGTCCGGGTACCACACTACTGACTTGCAAAATCCTTGCCTACCCTGTGTGTGCCGGCCCAGACGATGACGAGTTATCGATTGCTGGTGGTGCGGCTAACACACGAACCGAGACTGTGTGTTGTCGAGGATGAACTTGTAAGTTGAAGACTCACAACAATGTAGATCTAACAAGTGAACTTCTGTCAGCGTCGTGAGTAAAAAGAAGATCTAACGACGGATATATTTGAACTGAGAACTTCCTTAAAATTATTAAATTGAAGGTCCACGATCACCGTCAGGTTAGTGTATGTTCCAAGAATCAAACGATGTGTAATCCACAATGAACAAACAATATCGTTGACACGAATCAAAGGTATGAAACACAGTGGCTTAGGCCTAAACAGTGCGAGAATCAGGTTGAACTCCCTGGTAGAAGGCTAGCACAGATCACATGGAAATGTTGACAACGACTGTTACAAACCGGGGCGAACGAGAGGGTTTATTTACTACGCGAAGGGAAGAAAATTCCCACACGCGTCGCGAGTATCGATTGGCTCCGCCTCCCACACGAGCGAAATCATTGGCGAGGCGAGAGCGAGGGGCCTATGGCAAGCGGGTTCTCGCGGGCCACAGCTGTGCTTTAGCTCCGCCCCCAACGTCTTGTTTCGGTTTTTGATGTCGTGATCATTGTAGCGTGATTTCCCACGGTGTTTTGTGGGCTACGGCATTTCTCGTACTAAATATTCCATTTTATAGATTTCACAATTATAGTTTACAAAGTAATACTTTTATTCAAAGCAAATGGGGAAGAAAAAAATGTGCACCTGATTATATTATGATTTCCCCCCTCCTGCTATTCAAGTTTTAGCATTTCAAGATTGCACCTGTGTTTAGTGAGGTTTTCACGCAGCGTGCTAAATCGGCTTTGACACGTGGTAAATTGCGCTTGGGGAGCCCGGTCTAAACAGTCGGGCCAGACAGACTGGCGCCGGCATGGTGACGTCACGCATACAGTGGAGCCGAGTTTTTGCTTGTTACTGGCGCCAGGCAGGCGGTCGCACGCCACTGGACGACTGTCAATCAGCCACCACTTCAAAGGGCCCGCTTTAACCGGCTGATACATTGCATTAAAATTCGCCACCTTCGACTTTCGGCTTGTTCTTATCCGTAGACACACCTGCAAATTTGCATAGGCCGCAAAAAGAGTTTTTGAGTGTTTGCTTACAAGCCTAGACCGGCGCCTCAGTGACTACTGATTGTCCACTCGGAGGAGATTCTTCCAGTTGGACTTCCGTTTTCTCTGCACGACGGAAAGCGATGAGAATTGTTTTCGTCGTGACT